GGAACACGTCCTCCAGTGTCGGGCACTCGTATTCATCCATCAATTGTTGGGGATTTGATTGTCTCAATACAGCGCCGGATCTCATAAACGCCACGTTATGTGCACTCCGGGCCTCTTCTATATAATGGGTCGTTATTATCACTGTTTGGCCTAAAATTATACATAATATTAAAATACATATAATATCGTGAAAATATAGCTTTTTCTAATCTCATACCGTATTTATTGCACATATTCTCCAAGTATTTCCATATTCTATGCCTGAGAAGAGAGTCCACACCAACAGTTGGCTCATCCAATATAACGAGTCTGGGTTTGTGTAACATTGTTATGGCGATCGACACCCGGCGCTGTTGTCCACCACTTAATTGACTAATTAGTCGAGAATTTTCCGGTAAATGCAATAATTCTCGTAAATTATTAACGTTTTTATCAATTTCCTCGCGTTTCATATGATATATCATTCCGTAATAATTGAGTATTTCTCCGATTGTGAAATAATCAAATAATGACAACTCTTGAGGCATATATCCAACACCCGGTCCGGGAATACCTGAATCCACTGAACCAGGTTTTTTCCCAAAAACATCAATTGTGCCTGATGTTAATTTTAATTGTCCTAATATTACACGCATTATAGTTGTTTTTCCCGTTCCGTTTGGACCTAACAGTGCAAATATTTTACCTGTAATTTGAATATAATATTTGTAAAAATATAATATTCTTATATTTATATCAACATTATACTATATATCGTTAAAATACGTAAATAATATCTTGCTTACCTTTCGGTATTTGCACCGTTAAATCATTAAGAATTACATTATTAATATTATAACCAAATGCGGCATTTTGTATATTCACAGCCATTTGAAACTTGCAATATTTATCACGATTTAAATTTATTAACAAAATATATATAAAAATTTTGAATATGAAGAATTATGTTAAACAAATATAATGGCTATCGTCGATAAATTAACATTATTATAATTATGTTAATCTATCTTTTATATTATTCAAAACATTAAAACCTTTGAGTACATAATAAATCAACGCTTTTTTAGTTAAATAATTCTACAATAACCTTCACATTTTAATTATATAAATCTAATAAATTTACTGTTGAGAGAGAGAGAGAGAGAGAGAAATAGCGCCGTTCAGTCGGTAACAAATGGTGTCAATTATTTGGTGTTTGAATTTCGAAACAACTTTTCCGACAGTTTTGAGAGAGAGAGAGAGAGAGAGAGAGAGAGAGAGAGAGGATTGTAAATAATATTATAAATTCAAATTATCATATTTTTATTTTTTCTTAATACAGTGAAACATGAACTGGGTGAACCATGAGTTGTGTGAACTAAGCATTTGTATGAACCAAATGTCAAAACATAAATTAGTCTCTCATAGACATAATGTTAAAATAACATGAGTTGTGTGAACATGAACTGTGTGAACTAATGATCTGTGTGAACAAATTGTAGCTAAAATTATGTGGCATACAATGCATTTCACAATGAGTTGTGTGAACCACACAAAATAGCAAATTTATAGCAAAATATAGATGACAGCACTAAAATATTTTGTACATAAAACGACTAATAAGTTGTTTACATTCATAAAACCATTAAAACAACAGAAAATTACGACTATTTCTCTTAAAGAACTTATAAATTTGTAATTTAAAGTAACATTTATGTATTAATCATACTTTTTGTTTATAATGATTTGTATGAACTAATGATTTGTGTGAACTAAATGGCCAAATTTACCAAGTTCACCCAGTTCATGTTTTACTGTATTTAATTATATTCTATTAATATCCTGTTTCTGGTAATTTTTCATGAATAACATGTTTCAAATTTTAAAATTCAAAGACTATTATTAATACCCGTATATGAAAACCTAAAAAACTTACATTTCAATAAATTATAAACTACATTTACTATTTAACGTAACACGGTTAGATATTTGCATCATTCACAATTGGACATCAAATTTTTGGGTAAATACATTCAACCAAAATGAGTAAAACTTGCAAATGTGTAAAACTATTTAACCACTTGTGGGTGAATGTGTCATTTTGTGGACGTATTGTCTGCTGGGCCCATTAGGTGTCTAAAACTAATTAGACATATAATTACATCTCAAAATGAGTAAAACTTGCAAATGTGTAAAACTATTTAACCACTTGTGGGTGAATGTGTCATTTTGTGGACGTATTGTCTGTTGGGCCCATTAGGTGTCCAAAACTAATTGGACATATAATGACATCTCAATATCACAGTCAATGACAGAATACAATTCATGAGGTTAATGGAAAAACATATTACCCTATAACTCATGATTAGAAATACTCATGAATGTTCAATTAATCAGTTATCTATAAAAGTGAGATTGAGTTACTATGATTCAATCATATCATCATAGCTCAGTGGTTAGCGTCTACGACTCTGAATGTGATAAGCTCGGTACGATTCCCGGCCCAGTCACTTTTTTAAAAAACTTTTTCACATTTAATTATCAATCTATGTCTATTCATATTTACTCACATGTAAGCATTTAAAATTACCCATGTATTTGCAACGTCTAATTACCCATCTATGTCCACTTATTTGCACTCAATAGTCTCTTTTTTGGGTAATTACTGGTTCCTTTCACCTGACAGTGTATTACTTTAATTATCAGATATTCCACGGGTTATACGAACTTTTATATTCTTTAGGGTTTGTGAATACTATTAAAAAAGATAGGCATTGTACAACTTTTGTTTGATTTTTGCTGGCATTCAAATTTAGCGTATGTTTTACCAACTTTTGATATTTATTGAAATTTCAGAATAATATTATAAATTTTGGTCACATTTTATCACTGATTTGTTTATGTTTTTGCTATAAACATATTTTGATAAATCAAAGAAGTGAGTGAATGATTGGCTCGTTAACAGTCAGTGAATCACTCACTAATGAGTGAAAGAGAGAGAGAGAGAGAGAGAGAGAGAGAGAGAGAGAGAGAGAGAATATTCTTGACACATTAAAAACATGTAATAGTTGTGTATTAAATGTATGTAAAGTATGAGTACATTAATGGAAATATTAAACTCTTGGAATTTTATTCTTAAAATTTATTATGTTGCTTAACTTAATTTATTTATAGGTTTATTGTATGTATAACATTATATATTGTGCTCTAAAGTAGAAATGTGTAATTTATACCTATCATTTATTGCACTAAAATAGATGCATTTTAAATACAAACTTTGAAGATACTTTAACGTAAAGCAGAGAATAGAGCAAATGGTTGTTCTTATAAACATAATGAATTTTTATTTAATTATAATGTTGATCAAGATGTTTTTAATCGTTGTTATAGTGTTTGTTTGTGTTATAATGTGCGTACAGTTGTGTACAATATATAGAGTTTTATGCAAATTGTTGTCTCAATCAATAAATCGGTGCATTTGTAGACAGGAATGGTATGAATATTGACAGGAAAATAATAGTTTAGTACAGTTGAACAACATTAATGGTAAACCTAAACAACAGTTAAAACTCGTTATTAGTCATTATTCGTTACGTGACTCTCTCTCTCTCATATTTTTTCGCGCCAATACTTTATTCAATTATGATGACACCATTCATATACTTTATTACTCACATTTATATTGTAAATACACCTAAATGTACCCATACATTACCGTATAATATCGAAATCGTTGTTATAGTGTTTGTTTGTGTTATAATGTGCGTACAGTTGTGTACAATATATAGAGTTTTATGCAAATTGTTGTCTCAATCAATAAATCGGTGCATTTGTAGACAGGAATGGTATGAATATATAAGATTGGCTTTGATGTCAACCTTGACTTCTTAATAGAAGTGATTCCATAGCAACTCAATTGTATATTTCAAACATTATTATTAATACACATTTGAATTGAATTCAATATTTCCATAACTCATCCTTCGTTTCAATAACTATAAAACCTTTGTTCCAAACGCTATACAACTTTTCTCTTCGTAATGTTGTCCACAATATTTCCTATTTTTATCAATTCGTAGAAACAATTGTGATTTAAATGAATACCGAATTAATATATTTTATATAACATATGTGTAAACTATACGAACAAATGCTAAAAGAATTATTTTTCGTTATAACTCTGTCTGTGATATAGTCTTCTGATTATTGATTAATTATAGTTTAGTAATAATATAAGAGATATAAAGTCATTATGGCTGCCGAAGCAGTCAAAGTGATAGTCCGGTGCCGTCCTATCAATCAAAGAGAGAAGGATCTGAAATGCAAAGTATTATCAATCATTCATTCAATCGTACCATAGATTTAATCATAAGTTATTGTTTATATTATTAGATTATTGTGGATATCGATCAGTCGTGCGGTCAGTGCTCGATAACAAACCCAAACGACACGACAGCGGCTCCCAAAACCTTTTCATACGATGGCGCCTACTTTACCGACTCATTCACCGAACAAATCTATAATGAAATCGCTTTCCCTTTAGTTGAGGTCCGAAATCAAATCGATAAATATGTGATACTATTGTTTGTGCTATACTTTTATTATATCCACAGAGCGTTACGGAAGGATATAATGGCACAGTCTTTGCTTACGGACAAACTGGATGTGGAAAGTCATTCACAATGCAAGGCATTACTTCACCCGCTTCTCAAAGAGGCATTATTCCCAGGTTTGCACCATTTGTTTAATGTTTTAGTTTGCTTTTAAATGTGTAGCTATTATTATATCAATATGTTTAAAATAATAAATTACAAATAATTCTTATTCTGACAAAACAATCTTTTTTGTATCAATAGAATAGAATTTGTAAGAATTGTTTTTTATGTCAATACAAATAAGACTCTTACTTGTTAGTACAGTACATAGTACAGTGTACTTTGTATTTATACAATTCTATACAAATATTTCGATATACATTATAAATTAAAAGTATCTGCATCGTTCTTATTAGTACATTAAAACTATTTAAATTAGATTTATAAACTTTTTTATATTGTATAATTTAGTTATCCTGTTATTAATCTCATTTAAGGGATAAATATTTTTAGAAATAATGATTAAAGATAAGATTTTAAAGTGATTTAGAAATTTTTTGTCTGTAGCAAAGTTAGCGTTGTTACAATATTATTTTGTAGTAATCGACAATAGAATAAATTTGATATGCTACACCATCTTGGCCTTTAAACTTGGCCACAATTGCATAAAATCAAAAGCGGTAAAAAAGTAAAGCATATCAAATTAATACATTCGGTGTGTCCTATAAACTGATGTTATAATAATACTGAGTTTTCTAGGGTTACGTTTTTTGAGACTTACCATCTAACTCTATCCATTTAGCAAAAATTATCATTTTAAAAATCTCTGTTTATAATTTAATGTTAAAATGTATTTAATATTATATATTAAAAATATAACAATTTGCAGGGCTTTTGAGCATATATTCGAAGCGATAGCGACCGCAGAAAATACAAAATTTTTGGTTTTCGCGTCTTATCTGGAGATATATAACGAAGAAATCCGCGATTTGTTAGGAAAAGACGCTAAAAAGAAACTCGAACTGAAAGAGCATAACGACACCGGAGTGTATGTGACAAACCTGTCGATGCATACCGTCCACAACGTTAAGAGTTGCGAACAGATTATGGACAGGGGGTGGAAGAACCGGTCGGTCGGCGCCACTCTTAT